CAGGGAGGGGTTAGGTCCTGGGGTGTGTCAGTGTGCTCCTCTTGCTCTGACCTTGGCAGCTGACCAGGTGTGGTGTCCTGAGCCTGGAGAGCTGCAGCTTGTTTGGGAGGAAGCTGAAAAGGAGGAGCAGGGCTGAAGGAAGCTGCTGCTCAGCTCTGAGCTGAAGTGCTGCTCAAAGCCATCCTGCCTTCCTCACAGCAGCCTCTCATCTCCCCACTGGGCTTTGGCAGCCACGGGAGGAAGTGTTTGGGCTGCCATTGCCTCAGCTGCTGTTCTCCATCTCCTGGAGAGCTGAGAGACAAATAAATTGTGACTGGGAGGGAAGAGTGGCCAGCCTAGAAATGCCTGCACAGTGCTCCTTAGAAACACAAGGGCAGCTTAAGTTGTGTGTGAGAATTTCTCTTGCCCTTCTCTTTGACCTGCTAAATTCAATCCCTTGCATTAAAACTATTTATTTCCATTTGCTCTAAGGGTGTTCAGCACTAAAAGGTATTTTTGTGTGATCCCTCAGCGAGTGAATATGTGTTTCTAACTCCTCGTTGCTGGGACACAAGAGATGTTATACACATACTCTTATCTGTCTCCCCCATCTCTCGTGTAGTTGTTTGATGAAGAGAATCCTGTGCACAAATCTGGAAACAAGTTTATGTTTACTACTGAGGGACACATTGTGTCCGTGGATGAACGTTTTCGCAACTCCCTGTGGCAGGACATCCTCCCTGAAGAAGAGGAGAGTGCAGAGAAGGTGAAACCCAGCGAGTTAAAGGCAGCCAACTTCAGCTCTAACGTAAGGAGAACCCAGCCTGGTCCTGGCTGGGTGGCTGGAGGAGGGTGAGGGAGCAGAACAAGAGCCATTTGGAAGTGTTACTGCTGAGCTCTGCAGTGTTGCCTTTGTATCTGAGAAGCTCTTGAGTGAAAAGCACTTTGAGCAGTGAGATGAATGGGTTGGGATCATGTGAGTGGTTATGTTGAAGGTGAAACCTGTCCCTTTTGAAGTATTTTGCAGCAATTTTCTTGTTATTTGTTGATTCATTTCCAGTTATTCTTCCTCTGCCCTTAAAATTTTCCAGTGTTGCCGTCAGGGGGAAAGAGGAAAGCAGAGGGTTGTTTAAGCAAAGCTTTTTTTTCCTGAGTGGTTTTTGAGGCATGTAAAGGTGACCTGTCTTAGCTGTGCCTCACCTGAGCACAGAGTGTGGCTCCAGTGCCTGGCACCAGCCAAACCACAGAATCACAGACTGCTTTGGGTTCAAGGGACCTTAAAGATGATCTGCTTCCACCTCCTGCCCAGGGCAGGGAAACCTTCCACTAGAGCAGCTTACAGAACAGTTGTTTCCAGTTTGTGCTGGTAGGTTTTAGTGTGGTTCCTTCTCTCCTCCTCCCCCCAGTCCTCCAGGAAAAGAGCAGTGCTTTAAGCATTCACAGTTGTCATAGTGAAGGGAGTCTCAGTTGAACAACAAGCTGTGGTGTGTGTTTGGAAGCTGCAGCCTGTGCTGGGGAAACACTTGCTGTTCATTTGTGGGGTTTGTGCTGGGAGTTTGTAGAGCGAGGGACAAAGGGAGGTGTTGGGCGCAACTCTCTGTACTGGGAGGAAATCTGTGGTGCTGGGAGGATTGCAGAGGGGATGGGATTGCTGCTTTCAGGCTTGAGTTCTTAAAACCACTCGTGTTTTGTTCACAGTGTAACAGAGTCCCTGATGAGAGGAGGTATCTGCTGCCACTGAAGAGCAACTACATGAGGCAGATCGATCGCATGGTGGGACTGATCTGAGGGGCTCTGCAGAGAAACCTTGGTCCTGCCTCAGGAGGAGTGTGGTGTGTCTGCAGACATTCTCTCCTCTCAGCTCCTCACCTGAGTATCCCCTGTTAGCTGTCACTATGGATGAGAAGGGAGATGGAGTTCTCTGGCGAGTTCCATCTCCTCACCTGTGGTAACTTCATCTGCCACCTCCACAGAGAGCTCTTGTTTTAAGACTTCCTAGGAAAAATGTTGTTGCAAATGAAGGCTGAATATGTTTTTAAGAGAAAAAGAGAGCAAATTGGCACGTGCCACTTAGCTACCTCTTTGTAGCTGTATTACAAATGTCCCTTTAGAGAAGGGTCTGGTATTTAATCTGGAATGAGCTTGGGGTTGGGGTAGGAATGGGAAAGTGCAATTTCTTACACCAAGTTGAATCGTTGGATTATTCTAGCAATACACAACCTTAAGTACTACTCAGGTAGGAACCCACTGGGTTTTGCTGAAGCAAAAACTCTGTCTAGACTAGGATCTTGAGCAGACAACTCCTGATGGTGTGAAAAGCTGTTGGGATAGTTGTGACACCACTCGTGCACACAGGTGTGCAGAACCTGCAGGGTTACAAGAGCCTGTGGCTGCAGAAATGAGTGAGGAAACAAAACAGGTGCCTTTTTTTTTTTTTTTTTTGTAAGGGAATGGGGGGAGGGAAGGGGAAATGGCAGAGCCACTCAGCTCTCTGAGCAGCTGACTTGGTATTGCTTAGCTGAAATTCCCAAAGTTTCCTGGTTTGCCATGTTTTAGTGCCTTTTCAGGAGAGATGCTGCTAAGAACTGGTGTAACAGTCCACGCAGAACAAAGTGTTTCATGTTCCTGACAGCATCAATGTGTTAGTGCCTTAAGTTTTCCTCACTAGCAGGGAAAACTGAGCTTCCTTGGGAAGGTGGCTGAAGTATTGCTGACTAGCTGGTTGCAAAGTACAGTGGATCCCAAAGTCACTGAAGAAGTGACCTACAAAGAGATGTTTTCCCTGGGCTTTCCTGTAAGATACTAGAGGAATATTGTCTGTCTGTGAACTTTCAGGAGGAAAACAGTCAGGGGTTGAGGGATGACAGCAAACTGAGGCCAAAATAACTTGTTGTAAGTATAACAGGTCTTTTTTCCAGTTGCTTCCATGCTTTTAGCTTGTGACTACTGTTGAGGCAGTAGAATGTCACTTTTGGGCTACTGATTTTTAAATGAAGGCTTAAATGCAACTTGCTGTGCTGATGTTTTCACCTTCCTACAACAACACTGGTTTTCCTAAACCACGTGTTGCAGCTCAGAACATTTCTAATACTGCATATGAAGTTAGTGCTGGAGAGGTCATTGGTGGAATCTTTTAGGATACAGATGCATCTCAGGGACTTTATTCCATGATAGCTGAATCTTGTCTTCAGGCAAAAAAAACCAAACCAATCATGTCTTCTTAGTCTTACTGTGTGTGTTTTAAGGGGGGGAGAGGGAAGTAAGTTGAGGCTGCAATAAAATGGAGTGCCTTGCTGTCTGAGGCAGCTGGCAGTGCCAGCTCCTGGAAAACTGGCTTTGCAAATGGATTATTGGAATGTCTTAGTTGCCTATTTTGAAACAAAGCATGACTTCAAGGTGTTGTGATCCAAAGAGGTATTGGGAGAGGTTCAGGGTGTGACTTCCTGAGCACTGCCTAGGTGTGCTGCAGTGTGGAGAGGTGTCAAGAGGTGCAGGAGGATGGCTGAAGGCAGGGAAGGGCTCCTGGGAGGAGGAAGGAGGCAGAGGGGGCTCTGAGATCCAGCTGCTGGGCCAGGTCCTCACTGTAGCTCTGGAATGAGGAGTGTGGGAGCCCAACACAGCATCCCACAGCAGCAAATCATGGCAGAGCACTGCCTAGGTGTGCTGCAGTGTGGAGAGGTGTCAAGAGGTGCAGGAGGATGGCTGAAGGCAGGGAAGGGCTCCTGGGAGGAGGAAGGAGGCAGAGGGGGCTCTGAGATCCAGCTGCTGGGCCAGGTCCTCACTGTAGCTCTGGAATGAGGAGTGTGGGAGCCCAACACAGCATCCCACAGCAGCAAATCATGGCAGAGCAGGTGCCAGGATGGACAGGGTGCCAGGATGGACAGGGTGCCAGGATGGACGTGCCCTGGGTGTGGTGGTGGCTGCCTCAGGGCCTGGTCTGTCCCTGGTGAGCAGCTCAGCTCTCTGAAGGTGTGTTCACCTTGCCATTGCCTCTCAGTGTTTGTGCCTTCTGAAGCACCTGAGGCCAGGTGAGGGTTCCAGCCCAGTGTTATGCACAAAATCTGTTCCAGAGTTTTCCATAGAGGATGACCTGACTAGGCTGAGGTTGCACAGCTATTCTTCCCTCCTGTTTTCCCTTGTGGCTGCCAGAAGCAGTGAAAGGTGGCTGTACATGGGAGCAACACAGGCAGGTGCTGCAGCCTTTCAGCCAGGAATTGCCAGGTGATGTGCCAGTCATCCTTCCACAGGAATGGCTTTTCTCCTCAAGGAGGCTGGTGCTGAGCACATGGTATTAGACTCTGTGCTCCCTCAGGAGCCAGTTTTTTCTTCCTCTCTGTTTTAAAGTCACTTGGACCTGTTTTTAGTCTGCCAGGACAAGGCACATGTCGTGCACTAAACTCAAAACCTTTGTGTAAATCAATGATATCAAAGCAGAATTGCTAACTGTGCTGGGATGATTGCTGAGACAGACTTTTGTATTTCTTGGTATCATGTGCAATATCAAGTTTTCCTAATTAAAAGTGCCATGTATGCTTAATTGTTGTTTATCCATGAAGTATTTAATTGGGGATTGGGGGAATTTTTTTAAAGAGGACCAAATGTGCTCTCATGAAATGTCCTATATTTTCAGAACTTGGCTTAAGTTTTACAAATCTGCATTAAAAAATAGTGTGTTTGACCTCTTTTGTGTGTGTTTTTCTTAGAGGGTAGTTCCTCTAGGGCCATCATGATGCTTCAGGAGATCTCCCTGCTGCAGGGAGAAGGTGAATTTGGAGTGTGAACACCTGAGTTTTGCCATTCACCAGGCAGAAAAGCTTCAGCAGTTGAGTAGAACTGAGACTTTTCGCTGATCTCACACTACTTTGCTGCATTTAAACCTCATAGGTGACCTCTGAAGCAAGTAGAAATGGGCTAAAATCCTGATTTTTGGAGCAAGAACCTCTCATGTTGTCACTGTGGTTGCACATTTACTAGTGCTGTCACTGCCCTGAGCTACTGTTTGTCTTTCCACATCTTCTCCTGCTTCCTTATCTGCTGTGAGAGAGTTGTTCAACGTGTTAGAGCTCTAAAATGGGACTGGATGTTTTGATTGTAGTTCCTCCGAGTCCATATTTAATCAATTAGCTCAAAAATCCACTCTTCCACTTTGGGTTCCCTGGGAGATTTGAGTGTAGTGAGATGGGATGTGATAAACGATTCAAAGTCCAAAAGTGGGAGTGAAAACTCACTTATTTTTAGAGTATAATCATCAGGCTAACTTGGTGTTACAGCAAGAAGGTGACCGTGGAAGGTGAGCGCAGAGATCTTTGCCTCGGGGCCCGTGTTGGATGGGATGCTGTGGCTCCCATCGCTTCCACCAGAGACCACTCGTGTGCTGCGGTTGGAAGCTTTGGCACAGCGACACAACCGCAGTGTGTGCAAGGTGGAGCCTCGGGAAGTGCAGCTCCATAGCTCCGTGGAGAAAATGCAGTTTTATACCTCCCTGGGGGAGCTGCAAAGCGTCAGAGTGGGGAGGGCAAAGCTGGGAGGTCCCAGCTGTGCTTCTCCCTGCTTCTCATTCCTAGGGAGCTTTAGCCTTGTTTCCTAGAGATCTTTATCCTTGTTTCCTCCTTTTAGAGAGGAGTTCTGTTTCACTACTCACCACTTGTATGGTTTATTCACTAAGAGATATCAGCAAGTGTTTGCTGGGAGCTGCTCTCTACCCTCATTTGCTTCCTTTATCCCCCACCTCACTCACACTGTTGTCAAGGCCATTGGCTCAGAACTATTTTGCTGATAAACATCTTTTTTCCCCCCAGAGAGGTGTGATTTCTGTTGCCTCACATTTTGTGTGGCTGTGGAAGGGAACAGCTTGGGAGAGCTGCTCCAGCAACTCTGGGAAGCTCTGTCAAGTTGGGTTTTATTCAGGCAGTGCTGATAAGGAGGGGGAAAAAAGGCACTTGTATGTGCCAGTCCTTAACTGGTGAAGACACACTGATGTCCTGTGCAAGTCCAGGTGGGAACACTCAGTGATGGCACTGGGAGAGCTGGGACCAGCCACAGTCCAGGCTTTTGGATCAGGTGTGGATTTACCAGGTCAGGGAAGGAGCAGCACATTCCAGTTTCCAGTGCCCTCCCTGTCCTGGGAGAGCAGAGCCCACTGGGATCACTCCCTTGGCATTTACCCACCTGAGGCTGCTGCTCTGAAAACATCAAACAACAGATTAGACAAATTAAAAGGACAAAAAAAAAAAGAATATTTTACTGTATTAATACTTTGGAGTAATTGGAATTCCTCCCTGTGTCAGGCCCAGAGGCTTTCCAATAATGGCAATCTGCATGCTATTAATTATTGATGATGCTCATTTAGTGGAGTAAGTAATTCCTAACACAAAGAGCTCCTGGAAAGCTCCGTGAATCAGCACCGTGTGGCAGCAGTGCCAGCAGTGTGGTTTGCTCATGGAGTTGTGTTTCCTCAGCTCCACATGAAATACGAAACTCTGGGTTGGAAAAATTCTGCTTTTCCCCTCCCATCTTAGGGAGGAGATGGAGCTTTTTAAATCAACTCTGGAAGGAGTGTTTAAACAAGCATTTTACTAGACCAAATATCCCTGTGCTCCCAGAGTCTGCTTCACAGCAAACAAACTCTTGGGGAGCTACAGATATGTTTGACACTTGTATTTGTGAATGGTTCCTCCTCCTTTCCTGTTGCTTCATCCCTGCAGCTAAGAGCATGGATCCCCATTTTCCTCCCCCCTTTCCCTCTCCCTTTTCCCCTCTCCCTTTTCCCCTCTTTCCCTTCCCCTCTCCCTTTTCCCCTCTCCCTTTTCCTCTCCCTTTGTTTTTACTTTTTTCCCTTTCCCCTTTTTTCCTCTTTTCATTTTTCCCCCTT